CAATCGGTGCAGCCCTAATTTAAAATGAATCAATAACTTCTACAAAAGAGCAACAACAACAAAATCTGCATGCAGGGCTAATTTAGTGCATTTTGTTTCAGTCATAATTAAGATTTTGGAGTGACAATCATACCTTTTTAATTCCATCTTCCAACTTCATGCAGGTTTGAGGTAAAGTGATGAGAGTGGGGATGTTAGGGGACAAATCAAACCAAATTTAAAACAGACTTGTCTAGCAAATAGGTTCATTTAATTGGACTTCAGCTTTGTCTTTTTTTCGTTTTCCAAAAAAGAGAAAATCAGCAACGCTGCAATGCACCAACAGGGAAAGGTCACTCATTGCAACAAGTGACAAATTGAGGTGCTACAAGCAAACTGCCCTTTCAGTATGTGCCAAGGTTTCACATTAAACTAAAGTTTTAAAATTTATACATTTCTCTGCGTTTGCAGGTACACCTCAGACCTTTTAACTTTTTAAAGTAAAATTCTGAAAACTACTAAAGGGCTAAAAACGTTTGACCCTTTGCCATCCCTCTTACTCCAGAAACACAATTAGGATGTCCTGCTGCTTAGAAATATTGATTTGTGGGCTAGAATAAAGGACGAAAAGGTGAAAGTGGATTTAACCAAAATCCCTGATAAAGCAAACACGCCACAGGCTCTCTAAATCACACGGTGATAAAGGTGGATGCGAGTATTCACGTTGAATAACTTAATTTACATGCAAAATGAGCAGTCAGAGCCAATCTCCTGATACTGATCCCAGTTTAACAAGCCTACATCTAATCCTGGGTGGAGGACGGATCAATCAGTGTGCGAACTTGATCACAAGGAAACAATTCAGGCATTTTGTTGTCATAGCGAGGTGCAGGTTTGCGGCGCCGACCAAACAGATGGTATGTTTGGAATAACGACAGCAGGTTGGAAGCCATTAATTCTGAGATGATTTCAGTCCCCCTCTAATTTGCAATTGCAAACAAACGCCACATTTTCCTTTCCTCACAGGAAGCAGCCCTCTGAAGCTCTGCTGCTGACACACTGTGTGTGTGTGTGCGTGTGTGTGTGTGTGTGTGTGTGTGTGTGTGTGTGTGTGTGTGTATTCTCTGAGAATTTCAGAGGAACAAACAGCTGGCTGATGAGAGCATTGATCTAAAGTGCCAGCTGATGTGGACTTAAATGTGTGTCTGAGCTGCACAACACACACACAGCTGGGCGTTGGGCCCAAATCATATTGGATCAGCTTGCATGAGTTACCTGCTGAAATTTGCCCAGTTATGAACAGCTAACTTACCTATTTAATGAATGCAAACCTGCTTTTCACAATCATTTTCTCAGATCCACACAGTTTTGTTGTGGGGAGCCTCATTCTCTTTTTATGGTTCTATACGGTCATCTTTCTATACTGGTCAAAAAGCCTCCTGACAGCTGTCTGCATGTCTTTTCCTTTTAGCATCAAATTATAGTTATATATTGACTGTAGGGCTAATTGCATACACTGAAGAAAGCACAATGTGCAGCACAAACTGAAATGTAGGTTAACTTTTCTATATGATGGCAGCTCACTTTGTTCCACATTTTCTTAAAAAAAAAATCCCGATTATTACACGCTTATGTATCCAAAGTTGTAGCAGAGTTTCGGTTTGATGCTTGTAGTTGCTGGATGCCGGTTCTGTTCCAGGTCAGTGACGGTCCATATTGCACAGAGGGTGAACATGCCACGCCTGGAATATAGGATTAAATCTTGTTTGGTTGTGTTAAAAAAGATCAAATTGAAAAATTCTGAATCCTGCTGTGGAAAGATGTTTAACTGGATCAACAAAATGTTTCACTCCACAGGCAAGGCAAAAAAGTTTTTTCTTTTAATGGTATGTGCAAAAAATACCAGTGTCACAATGTTTACACAGCAACAAATGTAGAACATCATTGCGTTTATTGGAAACAAAATTGCAACAGAGTAGTGGACATTTTTGAAATGGGGAGAAAGTCGTTTTACAAATCAATGCTGTGCCTTTGGTTTGTATTCGTCTGCAGTGTTTTTGCAATTTCTTTACCAAATTTGCACATCAAGTTTTTGCTCGTTGTTTTGGAGAATGTGCCGGAGAGCCTTGAATGTTAATTTCAGATATTGTAACCGTCTAAATTAGATTCAAGCCTCGACCTGGAGTCCTAAAATCCAGGCTTTGGCAGTCAGTGTGCTGCAACTTTTAGATGTGTCCCTGGTTCAACACTCTTCAATCAAATCTGAATGACCTCCTCAGTGCAGTCAAGCAGGTGTGTTGCAGCAGAGAAGCATAAAACCTGCAGTTGAGGATCCCTGGTCAAGACTCGGGGGGGATTAAACCACTCTTGTAGCCCTTTTTTGTCTTCATCCTTGTTTCAAAATTTTATTTTCCAGTTTTTTTCCTGTATTCAGCTCCATCCATCTTCATTCAACTCCGACCAGGTTCCCTATCCTGTCTGAAGAAAACGCTTCACCAGTTCTCCAAGCATCTTTGCAGGATGTTTGGAGTTGTAGCTGTAAATCTGTCTTGATTTTTAAAGATAAGTTAAAATCAAATGTCCTATTTGGATCTCATTTAATCTCTAGAAATAAAGATAAGTGAAATGGCTGCATGTGCTCAGAGAGAAGATGGCCAGAAATAATTCAAGTTGCTGAAAATGACTAACGCTGTTGCATTCAGCAGATTGTTGCATGAGGATAGAGTAAAGAAAGTACTGAGTTATCTTCTAACATTTTATAACTTTTACTCTTCAGGCATTAGATGAAATTTAGAGTTTCACTCTGACTTGTGTTAATTAAAATTGGAGAAAGTGTTGCTCCATTTGGACTATTTTAGATTTTCAGGCGTGAGTTGCCAACTTCAGTCTGGGAACTGAACCGTCTCAGGATGAAGATGATTTAATTAAAAAAACCTGCAGAACAACTCATCTCTGGTGGATTTAGTGGAATTAAAAAAAAAAAATTTTTATTATGTTGTGTTTTAATGTACAGCACTTTGTATCAGTTGTGGTTGTTTTAAAGTGCTTTATAAATAAAGTTGGATAAGACTTGGTCACAGTTAAGCATGTAAGATTCAGGAACAATTTTATTTTTCTTTGGAAAGAAAATAAATATGAAATCCTTTTGTTATTTTTTTGTTTTTCTTCTTCTCTGCTTTTTTAATAAGTCCCACCTGAGACAGAAGTCGGCTATTTTTGGCAGTTATATATTTTTGGATAGAAGAAACTGCATCCTTTTGCTCAGAACTCCGTTAAAGGATGCTTGGAGTATTTTCATACAAAAAGTAAAGGTCATGAGTTTATATAGACTCATCAAGGGTTCATTTTGCTGAGAGATGGAAGCATACGGTTTGTAAAACAACATTCAGGTTCAGCACGTCATCAGTTATCCCAGCAAGATCTGAAATCAGTCCCATAAATTATTGCAATTGAATATGAGAAATAAATGCTTTGATTTAAAATTGTGGAGATTTGACGGTCATGCTGTGACGGTGTGGGAGGTGATATGGTTTATGAATGAATAAGCAAAAATATTTGTAAAACGCTTAAACACCATGCGATGTGCTGCATAAGCAGGAAGTTAAACTGAGAAAACAAGCAGAATTTGTGTGTTCATTTCATCCATTCTGTTCTTCCTGACAAACCCTAGAAAAAAAAAAACTGATGGAGCCCACCAGTGAGTTATAAGGTCCAATTAATCTGTCTCTCCCTGCAGCACCCTCCAGACACTGAGGAAAGGGCACAAGACGTAAAGAAAGAAGCCTGTCGCTGATAAAGAAGAGAGGATAACTTAACGCATCCGAAAAGGGACACTGCGGTGATGGCTGAAGCACCTCAGCAGCAGCAGCAGCAGCAGGAGGAGGAGGAGGAAGAGGAGCAGCAGCTGCCAAGCTCTGTGGAGACCAGTGAATCTGATGAAGGCTCCGAGGAACCAAATGAAGTCGTCAGAAAGGCTCGACCACTTCTGTCCATGAGGTCCATGAGCACCATAGACCCAGATGATGACTACCCCAATATGATCGTTTTCAGAAAGGTAGGAGCGAAGAAAACATTTTAAAACTTTATAAGTTGTTAGGATCTGCAGAAGACGATGGGTCCATATTTGAAGTAAAAATATGCTGCAAAAAAATCACCAGAATATAGGCAAAAGTTGTCATAGTGGCAACATTACATACAGAACACTAAACTTTGGTATATATTTCTATTTCTATCAAAACAAATGTTAGATGACAAAATCTGTGACTCATATGAGTTAAAGACAAAAGTTTACATGAGTTCATTCAATGAGGAAGAAGTAGTTGTGGAGCTTGTTGTCTTTTGGAGAACTGACAAGATATTTAAAAAGCACAATATGCCATGATCTAGCCTGCTTGTAATTCCCAACAGCTCACTTGGTTGCTAGGTAACGTGGCATGGCAGGTGTTGCTAGGTAACGGCGCAGTGCCCACAGATTGTGACTCAATAATTTTGAGGTTTTGGAAATGGCTTGTTTTCCTGACATGAAAGCAATAAAAAGTGGCTGGGTGACTATTATTACTATTTTTTTTATTTAATTTTTTAAAAATGTTCTTAATGTTTTTAGAAACATAGTTATAGTGTGATATTTTGCTCTAAACACCCTTTAAATGCTCTCCAGTTTAATGTTCTTTGGTTCATTTCCAGTAGACAGCAGAATTCCCTTTAAATGATTTATACATCTTCTTTTTTTTAAATGTTATCCATTTCTTGAATCTGTGTGCTTTCAGACATAATTATTCCTTGTAAGCAAAATGTATATCATAAAAGGGTGAAGAAGAAGATGACCTGAACTCTACAACACGGTGTTGCTGGTCTGTAATGTGCGTTTCATCAGCCTCTAAAGTCAGTATCACCCTTTTTTGTTTTTCTTTGCTAATGAAAGCAGTACAGTGACTCCCATTGATTCCCATGTGGCCTTCACATCAACTTGAGTCATAAAACACTATTTGCACATGCAGATTTATGAGTCAGGTGATTAATTATCTCAATAGATTTAGGTTTAGATGATAAATAAAACATGATCCACCTCTGGTTGTGGTGGATGAGAGCCTGGCTCATTAACTTTTAGGACGGAGAAAATCCGCCTGGATGCTGTTGCTTTAGGACAATGTCCCTTTTTGCAATGTCGATACCAATTTTGCTCTTATGGAAGATTGTTACACTGCTTGAGATTCAGCTTTTGTTTTTTTTAGTCCTCTACTGAGACGGTTTATTATTTGACCCTGAACAATGTACTCACTGTAAAAATAAGAGATCTAACGTGTACCGTTTTCCCTGCAGAAATTGGTCAAGTTTGTTACAACAGGGTTAGAGAATTAACCTGCTATCTTAAACACATTCTACTGGATTGTAGTTTAGATTGTGTAACAGGATGGGGTCAAATTAGTGAATCATTTCTACTTGTTTTAGCTGTAGTGTGTGGAATGAATTTTAGTAAGAGTTACATTTTATGTTGATTCTAAATTTAAGCAGATAAAATTAAGTCAGATTTATAGCTTGTTCAGCAAGTTTGTGTAAGTATTACCAGCTCTCTGCTGAAAAAATGCAGCTAAGGCAGCACTGCTAGTTGACAAGATGAAGTGTCACAGATTGGAATTTGTTCTCCGGAGGAAAAAGAAATCCCTATTTTTATTTTTTAGCAGGTTTGCTTTATTTTTATGCCACATTTTGTTGCCTCAGCTTGAGTGCTTGACAGCAGGAAGCCTTAAACTTGAGCAAAAAAAGGAGGAAGTTGAATCTAAAATGTATCAGTTTCTTCATGAATATACTAATACTCGTCCAGGATTTGGGAGGAAGAGAAAACTTTTAAAGTGAGGGTTTCTTCTTGAGTGAATTGGATTTAACTGAAAAATAAAACTGCAACTTGGTTTTTCTCCCTTGATTGGATTTTTTTAGACACAATTATTGTCCAAAGTCATCTTTATCATGCGATTATGCATATATATTTTGTTTAACCTCACATTTTGTCCTGTTGCCACCAGAAACTTCAATGCATTTTCTAATTTTACATAATAGACTAACACTGGGTTTGTGGATCACTGTAAAGTTTTCTACTTTGTCTTAATTTTCTTTTCTTTTACTGTTGCAAACCTAAATATACATCATGAAAACTGTACTAGAAGGGTCTCTGACCTCAGTTTTCCATTTTCATGACCTGAAAATTGTATATTTGACATTTGTTGGATGATGGTGAGGATGAAAGTGGGGAAAAATAAATTGTATAAACCAGATGAGTTATATTTTCTGGACTATTTCAGCATTCAGTCTATCAGGGTTTATAAATCTACATCAAATAAAGTAAGCTGGAGGGGCAGCAGGAATAACAAGATACCAACAGCCACTGTCGGCTTTGATGAATGAGTTTCTGGTGCAGGAGGGGATAGAGGTAGACGGAGAAAGTGAGGATCAAGGCTGAAACACCAAGAAAGGAAATAATAAAATGATGTTGGAATAGCAAAGAGACAAAAAGCTCAAACTTTCATGGACTGATAGATGCTATGTTAGCAGTACGACTGGAAGGCAGCTGTGAGTAAGCAGCAAATTTCTGCACTGAAAAACCACAGCTCTGACACAGCGCTCACTAAAATAGACTAAAATATGGACCAGAATAGAATTTCAGTTTCTCTTTTCCTCCTCTACATGCAAGTGCAACATTCAATACAGACCACTATATTCTTGTCGATCGTCTTGTCAATCGGGATCTCTTGCTTTTCTCTGCTTCAAAACATGCAATAGAAATAGTTTTGCAGCAGCTTTCCTGGTAAAAGTATTTATGAAATGTAGTAGGTGTCAGTAAGTGATGAAATGTAAATGACTCTATAAACCATATTTTGTGTAATTGAGTGGAATGACAAAGAATAAAAATCAGACACATGGATAATAGAAGCTGCAAAAAAGTAGAGAAAGGAAATGTCTGAATTATATGAATTTAAGAGGCGATCCTGTCCTGACAGTTTATAAAAAGTCTTCATCAAGAAGTGAAAGAAGCTTTTCACTGTAAACCAGTCAAAACCTGTCAGTTTTCACAAGATTTGTCAATATTTATCAGACTAGTTCTTAATTAATGAGCTTTTGAAAATGTGGAATTATTCCCTTAAACAATACACAAAGAATGCACTAAAGAAAATGCTAAAGCACATTTAAAGTTTGGTGCAGGAAATGTGAAACACTTAGGTCGTCTTTGTTTTTAGAGGAGAAATGGCTCTGCACATCACGATCAAAACACGATACTAACTGTGAAGTTTGGAGGTGTGGGAGCTGTCTTTTGGGACGCGCTACCAACAGTCTTCACATAATTTGTGGAAGGATGCATGCAGGAATGTACCGGAATATTCTGGGTACAAATTTCAAGGTGGAAACCTGAGAGCAGGAGCTTAACAATCATCTCAGAAGTGAGGGAGATGCTCTATTGAGAGATTTACTGTCATCTCGCATTCTATCGCATCTCTCCTTCGTGGCTAAAAACATACAGTCACTAACAACCACAGTGCAGCACCGGATATAGTTCTATATACTAACAACATATAAAGTTTCAGCTGCCAGTTTTTGCTGAGTTGACACAATTGCCCACAACTTGTTGTACAGAAATCAGAGAATTTGGTGTAGTACTAGTATTAGCTAACTAGCAAGGACTGTAACATTTGTATACTTGTTAACTTGCTTAAAATGACTGGTGAGCTAGTTGAAAAAATTTAACTTTTTTTTAATTTTGCTAGCTCTTGCTGATTTGCTGAACATAATACTGACATAATGTGCATCACTTCTCAGCAGCATGTCTCCCAGGAATCCACAGAGGCGCTGGCATTTCTATGCTCATGATAATGACCTTAGGGTGCAAAAACATGTTACTGTACGATATAAACGGATTAAACGGCTGTCGCAGTCGTAAAAAGTGTAGGGCTTTTATGAAATATGTATGTCCTGCACAACAGTCTAGGATTTCTGCATAAAATATCAAACATCCACAGTAATGTACAAGGGCTTGGTGCTGATGGTTAACTGTCTAAAAGTTTATAAAAACCTCCCAGTTTTACTCTCTGACGTTTAACTGAGCTGAAGTCAGTTTCTAGTGGTTTGAGGGTTAAATAAAGGCGAGATGATTCTGGGTCAGGGCTTCAGGAATAATTAGGCAGAGAAATGAAGCCTCTCTCTTCTACAGAAAGCAATTTAATCTGCTATGCAGATGGTGTTGGAAAGGTGAACAACTTCACCATTTCCTCCTCCTACTCTTCCAACTTTTCTTTTAATCACTCTGGTTGATGCACTTTATACATTTTTGTGTAAAGTATGTATAAAGTATTTTTTCCATCTAAACTTGAAGATTTGATTTTTTTTTTTTGCGCATTCTTAAATTTAAAATCAGTACCTACTCTCTCTCAAGTTTTATTGTAGCTCTAAGATTATCTGACATCAGACATTTGGAGTGCTGTATTGCAGAATTTTTCAAATTCATTGTATCATCTTAGTTCCAGTTCTGCGTTACTGTATTCATTTACATTACAAGAGGCTGCTTGCATGAACATGGCCTGCAGATGATTGTAAATGAGAAAAATTTTACCTCAAAATTCACATTTTCCCCCCCGTCAGCGTACATACACAGAGATTATATTGGGTTGAGGAGATTCAGTGCCGTCGACAAGAGCCAAGAGTGTTGACTCGCATTTTTTCCTGCATGAATTCAAACCTGTCAGCCAGCATCTGCTCATAAACACTGCTTGGGCCTGTGTGTGTATCTGTGTGTGCACATGTCATAAGGGAAGAAAATGAGATGCAGTGAATTTGTGTATGCAGCTTATTGTCTGCGTGCGTGCAGAGGCGTGTGTGACTTCCGGCATATTGGGCCTTCATTTTTATTATTTGCGATTTTTTTCAGCGACAATAGCAGCTGTTGAACTGAGAGCCTGTTTACTTATCAGCCTGTTTGCACACACACCCTCCCCATATTTTTCTTTGGGCCACTCTGAATGGGCTGCAGGCTTTGGATGCTGACCTTCGCTGAAGTATTCAAAGTTTTGA